TCTCAACCCCCTATGGGTGATCTACCCAGGGACCGGGTTACTTCGGCTAGACCATTTTCTCGTGTTGGCACTGACTTTGCGGGCCCTTTCTATACTAAAGTACAATCCTATCGAAATAAGAAAATAGTAAAGAGTTATCTGTGTGTATTTGTTAGCCTGTCAACTAAAGCGGTACATTTAGAAGTAGTATCCGACCTTACGACTGAATCTTTCCTATCTACCTTTACCCGATTTGTTGCGCGTCGCGGATTACCTACCCTTATGCGTTCGGATTGTGGACGAAATTATTTAGGAGCGAGTAACTATATTAGAGAGCTTGATTCATTCCTGTCCCAAAAGCATGATGATCTTGCTTCACAACTAGCCCGCAAGAATATAAATTGGATATTTGACCCACCGGCCTGTCCTTACTGGGGGGATTGTTTGAAGCAGCCGTTAAGTCTGCCAAGACGCACCTCAAACGAGTAATCGGTGAAAATCCCCTTACCTTTGAGGAATTGACCACTGTATTTGCAAAAATTGAGTCTGTACTTAACTCTCGGCCTTTGTGTTCCTTATCTCAAGATCCCAATGATCTTGAAGTGTTAATCCGTGGTCACTTTCTCATTGGTCAACCCCTTACTGCGTTACCCGAGTACCCATTGAGAGACGAGCATTTGCAACAAATTACTCAACATTTTTGGTCGCGGTGGCATTCAGAGCACCTATCAACCCTTCAAACTCGTAATAAGTGGACTTCTCCTATGAATCCTCCTAATGTTGATGAATTGGTTTTGATAAAGGATGACAACCTCCCTCCTTTGGAGTGGCGCCGCGGACGTATAGTACAGTTATTTACAAAGCCCAAGAAATCCGCAGAACCATACAGGTACGAGACAGACGCTTCCACTCATTTTTCACTATATATATACAGAGAGTAAATTCCCTAACATTTTGGTAGCAGAGCATGGTTTGGAAACCTCTGATTACACTTGATCTGGCCCGTTCCGTACCCGGAACACCCTATTAATTGTTTATTCCAAATAAATCTGTGCTTAGTTTGCCATAAATTAAATTAATACTATTACATTACTCGTCTTGACCTTTGATCTTTACCTATAACTTGTGATCGTGTTAATCATCGTAAATTAAAAGTACTATTTGCGTATATAAACCTAGTATTTTGTTGAGTAGGTGTTTATTAATAATTAATAAATCCATTTATTGCCAACATCAGCACAGTTACACAGCTACACATTTATACATATTTAACATGATTGGCAATAGGTACAAACTCAGCTATTGCCGGACTGATGGGCGTCCAGCGCTGGTTTTCAGTTTGTACCTACGCAGGCGTACTTAATCACACGTGCTAGATAACAATACCACAACATAATGAAATAAAAATTTAACAAATTACTACATAAATAATAATAATATCCATACGGATATTATTGGACACGTGACATGCATGTAATAACAAATTATATAGATGTATACATATACATATATATTTATACGTATACATACACATATACACAAACAAATATAGATTATACAACCTATTCGGTTTTAAAATCAAACTTAGAACTATAAAATCGTTTTAAATAATAGTAATCTAAATTTTCCAAAAGCAGAAAGAGAAATATCAGATGTATACTTTTAATTCGTTTATTTGATTATTTGTAGATATAAATAAATAAGCATATATAAATAATAACAAAATAAAAGGTACTTAACTTCTCTTAATTCTTAGATCTCTAATATATTAAAAGCACTAACAATAAGTAAATCCAGTGATCACGTGGTCCGCAGTATAATACTTATTATTTGTGCAGAGAGCTCTGTTCTAGTTAACAGTTAGATCAACAGTAAATCCTTCCACCGAACAACGCCTTTTATATACCCTACACATCCGTAACAAACAAATCGGCAAGACCACGTGATTTTACAGTTTTTCTTACTTTTTAATATAATTACGATCACAATAACTTATTATAAACTTACTATAGGTATTACATTTTTAGGTATTATGTAAATTATTTATTAATATAATTAAATAACTTAAAATATTTACTTATTTTAGTAATCAGAATATAAAAAACACATTTTGACACAACACTTGTATAAAGAAAACCAGTACAATTTAATAATTATCTATCACATGCAATGCATGTGCATCTACACAATAAAAAAAAAAATCACATTTTATGTCGAGATTTGTCGCCGCTATCCAAGGGCTGTCTCTGTCTATCTAATATAATTTTCCTTAAAGAATTATTAAATTTTAGCGGTATTATCATTTGGCGTAATGGCGGAGGCAGATCGTTCCAGATTTTAGCGGCAGTGAATTTGAAACCTCCTCTATAATTAACGGATTTGTGTGTAGGTATGCTTAACATATCACGTCTGCATTCACGAAGTCCCCTGTTATGTCTACTCTTTGCCCACTCCAATTTCTCATATAGATACTGCGGACGACCGCGATGGACAATTTTTTGAATTAAGCAGGAGAAGTGCAACTCTCTACGGGAAGTCATATTTAATATTCCATTTTTGTGGTAATAAGGTGTAACATGTTCACGTTTAGGTATGTTGTAACAAAAGCGAAGGCAAGCATTTTGAACTCTTTGAATAGACTTGCGAGTTTCCTCCAACAATCTTGGACCATATACTGTATCGCAATAGTTAAAAAGAGACAATATTAAGGTTTCTACTAGAGTTTCTCGTATGGGAATACTTAAGTGTTTTCTTATACTGTAAAGTGTTTTTAGTTTGTAAAAGGACGTTCTTATTTTAGAGTTTATATGATCTATGAAACGTAATTGTGAATCAATTAACAAGCCGAGATTCTTTGCAGTATCTACTCTTTCTATTGATTGGTTACCGATAAAAATCTGTGGATTTTGATGTCTAGTTTTTTTACATTGTACTTTAGTACCTAGAATTAAAAATTTCGATTTCAAGGGGTTTAGGACAAGATGGTTGTTTTTAGACCATTTAAAGAGAGAATCAAGATCTTCATTTATGTCAATTTCTGCTTGCCTGAGATGTTCTGGCAAAAAGGAATAGTAAAGTTGAGTATCATCGGCATAGAGATGCAACCGACAGTGACCGATAATAGCAGGGAGATCAGACGTGTACACTATAAATAAGAGAGGACTCAATATGGAGCCCTGTGGCGTACCTTTGTTGACTGACTTTATTTGAGATTTCTTTATTATGCCATCACTTGTCTGTAATTCTACGTACTGGCGTCAACTCCCAGAAATGACCCAAACCAATTACATGCTGCCGGTGACACTTCATAATAAGCCATTTTTTCCAAAAGGAGCCGATGATTTATACAGTCAAAGGCGCGTGAGAAGTCTAACAGTACCAGTATACTTGCTTTGCCCTCATCAGATGCTGTTAGTATGTCATCAGTGACCTTAGAGAGAGCAGATGCCGTCCCATGGTCGCTCCGGAATCCTGACTGTAGTTTCGGCAGCAATTGTTTATCTTCTAAATAACTCGAGAGCTGTTCATAGACAATCTTTTCTATAATTTTGGACAGAATTGGAAGAAGACTGATCGGTCGCAAATCCTTTAAATCATTAACAATTGATCTTTTTAGAATAAGTTTTACTTTAGCAAGTGACCATTGTTGTGGAAAGTAATTGGATGTGATTGAATCGTTAATTAAGTTTGTAATAATTGGCAGCGTAGCTTTCAATGTCATTTTCAGCATTTCGATAGTTATCCCATCATGTCCACACGCTTTAGTATGGATTGAGGAAATCATTTTCATAATATTACTTTCATCAGATGTTCTTATATTAAATTGATTGTCTACGATATTTCTTGCCTTGAAATTGGCTTTTAAATTATTATCTTGGTCACACGGGATGTCAAGGAAGAAATTATTAATTAGATCTGGATCCGTCAGATGCTGTGGTATTGGCGACTCATCCATATTACCTATATTTGATATTTGCTTTAAATGACGCCACATCTGATTGGGTTTGTTCCTATTATTATTAATATAAAATGTGAAATAAGCTTTTTTTTCACGGTCCAGGGCTCCATTGGTATAGTTTCGAAGATCTCTATAGTAATCCAAATGGCTTTCTTTGCTCGATATATGTGCCCTACGTAGTGCAGAGTCACGTAGTCTCATCATGATCCTAATGTTGTTGGTAATCCACGGGTGTGGCTTATTATTATTAATACGTATTTTTTTAACCGGAGCATGAACATCGAATAAAACATTGATTAGATCATTGAATCGATTAACTCTTGCATCTAAAGAATCACCAGTATTTACACTATCCCAGTCCAGGCTGTCAAGGTCTGTATTAAATTGACTAATATTAATATTATCTAAAAATCTTTTATATATGTATCTCGGTGTTTGGTGTGGTTTTATTATTTTAAGTCGGGCTATTATCAAGGCATGGTCGCTAAGCTGCGGATTATGAAGAACATCAACTCCATGGCATAAATTCGGTGTATCAGTAATTATGAGATCAATCAGTGTGGAAGTATTATTAGTTACCCTAACATAACCTGGTATTTTCAGCGCTGGCTTTCCCTGATCATCTCTTAACCACGTCTCGTTGATGGCTAGAATATCAGGCCTGTAATTCTCGACTGCTGCTACTAGTTCGTCCTGGCCAGTATTTAATGACCGTGCATTTATAAGACCTACATTAAAACTGATTGATTTATTAAAAATCATTTTTTATATTCAGCTAGCCTAATCGTATAATTGAGACAAGCCCTGAATAGCGTGAATTTGATACAACGTTTAAATTTTACTGGCTCACAATACGAGATGTTCAAAAGTTTAGTCGCAAATATACTGTGAACTTTATTGGATATCAAAATGTATATAATTGACAAATACATATATATTACATTACATGTATATACAATAACTTTTCTACCTGTAAAACATTGGCAAATAATGAAAAATACATCAAAGCTTGTTATCATATAAATAACAAAAGAAAGAAAATAAAAAGAAAACAAACAAATATTTACGAGCCAATCGCTTCTGATCCAAAAACCCTAATGAGATCTGACTCTGTTCTTAAACGAAAACGTGGTTCATCCTTGCCTTGGCGTTGTCGTACAAAAATTTTACCGGCTGCTGTCCAAATATATCGCCAGTTATTACGAATACCCATTTCTCGAGCCTTTTGAAATAACTGCCTGTTTTTTAGTGTCAACCTTTCATTAATGTAGAATTTTCGTGGTGGTCCGGGTAGGTCCATACCTTCTGTAGTAGCACCTCGTCTGACCCGTGCAGCTTGCAATAGTTGATCGCGTAAAACGCGACGTGCTAGCCGCACTACCATAAGACGGGGTCGTCGGTTTTTTTTGTCACTTTCATCAGGCTTAGATAAACTTCCTATCCGTATAGCACTGACAATATCTTGATCCGCTAATTGTACGCCTAGCTTAGCAGCTACATTCATTACAACATGCGTAACATTTTCATTGTTTTGTTCTGGTATACATGAGATCTGAAGATCATTAAGCAAAAGATCCTGATCTCTTTCGTTTAGTTCGGCCTTTAGTTGTTCAATAGATTCTGACAGAGTAGTGTTGCTTTGTGTTGTTGTATCAGTATCAACTCGATTCTCTATTTTTTCGACACGTGCAATTAATTTTTCCATGCGGTCTTCACATATATCCATTCTTAAGTTTAGCTTATTGATGGTCTCATTAAATACCTCGATCCGTGCTCGCGTCTCCTGCATTTCTTTTCTAAAAAGACGCATTTCTATAAGTAGTGTTTCATTACTCGTTGCCGTGTCTTCTTCATGTGTAGAAGCAGGAGAGCTCTCTGGTGTGGATATACCGCCACCTCGTCGTTGTGTGACATTACCAGTGTCCGATCTGATCGGCGTATTTGTGTTATCTTTTTTTGGTATCTTTGATTTGCATGAGACACATTTCCAGAAGTCTTTGTGTTTTTGTGTCATAGTATTATAAAATCGAGCTTTTGGTATGTTGGCACAATCTAGGTCGTAATGTAATTTACATGAGCTGCAAATCAAATAGCGTCTGCTCTCAATATTTCCCAAACACCCGGCGCATGTAATATTATTATTTTTTCTTTGACATATTTATTTTTCTTTTGTCAATAAATATTTAGTTAAAATATCCAGCAGAATCAGGCAGTAATTGTTATAAGTATCGTTAACGTCACTCTATTGAGGGTATATTGAAAAACGACTTGCAATGCACTCGATTTGTGTCACTTCATAATTTGTCATTTAGCACTATATAGTTTCACTTTAGTCAATACAGTCCGTACAAATATTAAATTCTTGATAGTAAACTATGTTCGTATATATTTTTTATAGTGAAAGTTAACTTTTATATTTAAAATCATTTAAGTATCTGGAGCGCAAACAAAATCCGTTCACTCAGTACGACCCGCGTCGACCTACCTCTTAAATTAATACATTTTTAATAAAAGTTATAAATGTATCATTGCATATTAGCGTAATGTATTGATATAAATTGAGTGAATTATCTTAACGGTTACATCTACCTACTAAGTTTTCAATATAAAGCGGCCTGTTAGAATTCTTTCGCTTGGTACCTACATTTTTTATTGTAACATCCCTATTCAGTGAAGATAACCACTTGTTGTGATTTTAAACTGGTTTTCTGTATGCGAGAATATTGTGTTTATGGTACTTTGTATGCTCACTCTGTATTAAGTAATATTTAGGTACATTCTTGATTTGGTTGAAAATATAGTTGTTTATTGATAATGTAATAATAATTTTTATTATTATATTTTATTTAGCCTTTATAAATACTCGTGAGTTATATCTTTATATTTTATTAAATATTTCTTTTGTTTGTGGTAATTAATAATTAAAATAAAGATGTCGAATCCTAATGATACGGTGAAAGCGTGTTTATTCAGTGAGACTGTTGAGTATCGTCAGTCAATGGGTACTGTTCGATTGATCAGTGACTGGATTACGGATGCTTATGCTTTGCTGCCTTCTGCGTCACGTTATAGGCTTATCGTGCGGCTTTCTGAACTGAATGAGAACTATGCTAAATTTAATGAAGCGTGTTCTTGTCTCCTTGGCGGTTTTGACCCGGTGATTGATACGAAGGAGTATAAAGATTTTTTTTTTTTTTTTTATCGTGTGGAAAAATCTTCAAAAGACCGTCACCCCGCCGGAGGGATGGCGAGGTGGTCTGTGGGACTTGTACCCACTAAAAAACCACACGGTGTACCTACGAGCGCCTATGCCGGAGCCAGGGGATTCGCAAGTGCATTCTACCCCAGCTCCGACGGCGACGGCCCGCCCTGTAGATGTTGTAGGGCAGGCCCCATCTCGTTTTGTGGTTAGGGCGACCTATTTCGCCCTACTCCATTGTGGAGGCGTGTGGGTACACGCGCACACCTCCGGGGCCTTTGGATTGGGGGACTGCCTCCCTCAAGGCAGTCACCCCGGCCCCAGTGGGGGATAGAGGGGGGCGGAGTTGGATACGCCCCACCTCTAGGCCTGGCTCTTCTGCGGCGGAGGGAAGCGGGACGAGCTGACCCCCGCTCCCTTTCCGCCGCCTCCTTCCGCGAGATAACTTCCTCGCAGAAGGAGCTCACCGCCAGCCACGATCTCTCGCTACTGACCATCCTCCGAACTAAATTCGGCAGCGAGAGATCGTCCCCCACTATTCGTGTGAGGACACGGCGCTCACTCACGAACGCTGGGCATTCGAGTATAAAGATACCCTAACCTTATCTAAGTCAATGCGGCCTATGGTAGATGAGTTGCGGCTTAGGTTTAGTGAGTTGCAGCCTGAATTGTTCTATGATCCCCCTACAGAGTCGAGTACTCCTAAGCGGCTTCCATTGATATCTTCCCCTCTAATGTGTATTAAAAATAAACTACCCGACTTACCTATTCCTATCTTTAATGGCCAAAGCGGATCCTATTTGAGCTTCGTCGACCAATTTGATAGTATTGTCGATTCCCAGCCTGACCTTAGCCCTACTAATAAGTTACAGTACCTTGTTGGTGCATTATCGGGTGAGCCTAAACATCTACTATTACATTTACGTATTGAAGCAGAGAATTACCCTATCGCTCGTGATTTGTTAAAGCGGATATATCATAATACGCGAATACTGGCGGATACATATATAACACAGATCCTTACCTTACCTAATATACTCCCTAAATTGAATGGATTACGTGCTTCGTTTCTCAACCCATTGTTAACAGCTTATCGTTGTTTGGAACGCTTAGAGTTATCTGTGACTAGTTGGTCATATATGCTAGTGCACATATGCCTTAATAAGTTGCCCCTGGAGTTAAAGGCTCGTTTTGAGCGGCGTTACGGTGGTGATAGTGATCGACTGCCCCAGTTTGATCAGATCATCACTTTTTTAGAGGATGAGTACCGCCACCATGATAATGTAGGTGATGCAGCATTAGTAGATTCTGCCCCAACTTCCCGTACGTTTGAACGAAGACCTGAATACTCGCATAACCAGCAATCTAACCGCCCGCGTAGTGCCTACGTTTCCCAGGTACCAGTTTCCAATAAGAAGTGCCATATGTGTAATAGTGATTCCCATTATCTACGTGAATGTCCCCAATTTCGTGATATTTATTTATTCTCTATTGCACTTTTAAAAATTGTACAATTTGGCGAGCTTAATGCCATATGGCATTCTCTACCAGCTAACCATTAGGTAAGAACAGAAAGTGGTTGATGGGCAGTGGTGAGAAAGGACTAAACTATAATTTTACCTAAAAAAGGTAAATAAGTTTTCTTAAAAATAATTACAAATATACATACATAAATATAAATATATACCTACTATAATACATAATAATGATACACCAATAAAATTTTATACACAAATAAAATTAAAAAAAAAGAGAAATTTACATATATATTATGACAACAATAGATAATTAAGAACCGTTTTGTTCATTCAAGAGATAATCAAAAATTTTCCGTTTGAAAACAGGCTTACTCTGTGCTTTGCGCAGGGCTACAGGCAATCTATTCCAAAGACTAATAGCAGTGACAGTGAATGAATTAGACATAAATCCAGAATGGTGTGAAGGAGTTGAGAGAAGAAGGGTGTGGACCGAACGAAGATTAAGAGAATGGGAGTCACTAATGAACTGGAATTTGTCTTTCAAATATAAGGGAGAGGAAGTGTCATAGATGATAGTAAAGAGAGAACATAGGATGCGCAAGTTTCTGCGGTTACGAATATTTAACCATTTTAATTGGGATCGAAATTTAGATACGTGGTCATATTTACGTAGTCCAAAGATGAACCGGATACAGTTATTAAGTAAACGATCTAACTTATTCAACTGTTCTTGGGTAAGATTGGTAAGACACACGTCGGCATAGTCAATATGCGGAAGTATTAGAGATTGAACGAGAAGTAATTTAGTAGAAGACGGAAGAAAAAATTTAAAACGATAAAGAGCGCGTAGAATGCCTGTAACCCTGCGACAAATCTCAGCCATTTGAAAATGCCAACTAAGTGACGGGTCAATTAACAGTCCCAAATCCCTAACATTAGAACAGAACGGAATAATGCTGTTCTCACACTGCACATGCAAATTTGTCGTATTCATTTTAGCAAGAAGTCTTGAGCTGCCTATTATAATAGCCTGACATTTTTTTGGATTAACTGAAATACCATAGCGACGTGACCACTTCGATATGCTCTCAAGATCCCTATTGAGTTTATCCATAGCAGTAGAAATTTCATTTGGTTCAGTCTGAGCATAAAGCTGTAGGTCGTCCGCGTAAAGATGGTAAGAGCATTGAAGGTGAGGTGTAATGAGATTGATAAAGAGAGAAAATAGAAGTGGTGAAAGAATACCGCCTTGCGGAACACCAGTGTTTAGATCACTCCAGCCAGAGAGATCTTGCCCAGCACGAATTGCTTGTTGGCGTCCGCGAAGATATGAAGAGAACCACTCCAGTACCGACGGAGAGAAATTAAGACGAGAGAGCAATGCTAGGAGTAAGTCATGGTCAACACAGTTGAAGGCATTGGAGAAATCTATTAATACTAAGATGGTGAGGTGGGATTTCTCCATACTGTTACGAAGGTCTTCGGTTACTTTGAGTAACGCTGTAGTGGTACTGTGTCCTGGGCGAAACCCAGACTGAAGAGGGCTAATAAAGTTACAATTTGAAATGAAGATGGATACTTGTTGAAAAATAATATGCTCAAGAACTTTTGACAGGAATGGCAAGATTGAGATTGGTCTAAAGTGACTAGGAAGTGAAGGATTAGCTATCTTGGCAAGGGGAATTACAAATGCTTTTCTCCACAGTTCAGGAAAACAGCCATTAGTCAAAGAGAAATTGACTATGTGAGTAAGAACTGGGAGAATTATGTCTAACAAGAGAGTGATCATAGTTCTACTCACTTCGTCATGGCCTGTAGCGTTAGATCTAATAGACATAATTGTTTTGCGAATGCTCTCGTCGGTTTCTGGAGTAAAGGTGAAAGAGTTGGTAGTCGACAAAGGCATGGAATTTATTTCCTGTATGGTGGACATTTTAATAGAGGTATCAAGAGGCTTTGCAGAGGAGAAGTGGATATTAAGGTCATCAAGTGGTACTTTTACATTAAAGGTGGCTGTCGCTTTGCCAAAACCAAGAGAGTTCAGGAATTTCCATATGTTAGCCGAAGAAGTATTTAGTACGTTTTTATGAATATGTCGGCGTTTAGCTGCTCTTACCACCTGATTACAGCGGTTTCTAGCACGCTTGAAGATCTGAAAATTTACTACGCTTCTTTCTTTTTTAAAGACTTGGAAAGCCCGATTCCGTTTCGCCATTGCCTTCCGAATATCCTCTGTTATCCACGGTGCAGGTGGACGTCGCAGCTTGAGAGTACGTAATGGAGCATGTTTATTAAATAGTCCTAATATCTGGGCATTAAATAGAGAAATTTTGTTATTGATGATCGAAGTTTCTAGTATTGGCTTCCAGTCTATACGCGCAGCAACGCGGAGTAGTGAGGTGATATCTATACGACTAAAATTACGCACGGAGGCAATGGTCGGTTTTAACTTAAGTGGCTTAATTTTGTAACATAGAAGCAGAAGGTCATGACGTGAGAAAGCAGGTGCTGATAACTGGTCATGCTCAACGACATAATCAGTCGAGGATGTACAGACAATGTCCAACCAAGAATCCTCAGTATCTATGTTGTGGTGAGTAGGCTGTAAAGGTAGAATAAAGAGATTCATTGAGTTTAAAATAGTTTTCAATTTACGTGTCTGTAATGAGTCCTTCATCAGGTTGGTGTTAAGGTCTCCCATAATGATAATATATTTATAAGAACAGCTTATTAAATCTAAGGCAGCATCAAGATCAGAGAAATAATCTACTAGAGGTGGACAGTAAACTACACCAATGACCATTTTAATACCCTTAAAGTTTGCTTCTATGAACAGGTGCTCAGCGGTACCATGATAATCCGATGGAGACGATGATATTACTCTATAGGAAATAAAGCTACGTAGATAAATCGCAACGCCTCCACCACCCTTCCCCGTACGATCATTTCTGATCAAGGTGAAACCTGGTAATGCATATGTGATAGAAGAGAGTGTAGGTTTCAACCATGATTCAGAAACTAGTAACGCGTGGACGTCAGGTTCGGAGAACGTGTCAATCAAATCGGTATAATGTGCAGGAATGCTTTGTGCGTTTATGTGGCATATGTTTAAAAATTTGGAGTTCTTAAATCTTTCCTTTAATAAAAAACCAATGTTGTCATCGCAAAATGAAGAATTAGCGGAAAAGAATGAAGAACTACTGTCAGTTGTGGTCTGAAATGAGTCTTCATCTATTGGCATAATGTTGTTTCAATATTGAATAAGTAATATATAATATACAAATATTAAAATAAATAATATATACTAGTAATATATATAAAAAAAGAAAAATATATTATTAATGAGATTCTTATAATTATAAACCTATTTTAATTACAAAAACCAACGCTTTATGTCTTATTACCTGCCGGCGCGCCGTAACAAAAGTATGAATCAAAACATTGTAACAGATATTATTATACAGAAATAATCTAGCTACTATAATTTATACAGTGAAACGAACGAAGTAATATTGTATTAAGAATCCAGTTATGTCATAGAAAAAAAAAAAAGAAAAAATACATTGTGGTTGTCAAAGTCACGTCAGATATACGTCAAATATCTTTCACATATAAATTGTAAATACAGAGTTTGTTTACGAAAAAAAAAAGAAGACTAAAATGTAAATATTTTATACGGTACTTACAAAAAAAAGAATAATAAGTGTTATTTCGACGGTACTACGAAGGTTTAGCTAATTGGTAATGAGACAAAATTACTAAAGGAATGACTAACTAGACCACAATAAAAAAGAAACACAAATACAAGAAACAGTTACACGAAATTATAGCGTGTTAACGCTGGAACATAAAATAGAAAACAGTACAATGTATCATAGTTCATTTCTTGGCCAACCTTGCGGAGCGTTGCTTGGTAGCACCTGCAGTAGACCGACTGCCTGGGGCAGCCGGTGCCGAAGCTACAGAGACCGAGGCTGCAGATGTCTCGGCTGGTTTATGCAACACCATCAGTTTTTCTAACTCCTCTAGTGTGAAGACCTTTACACGTGAACCGTCTGGCAACTTAACGTTTATGACCCCATCCAGAGTCCAAACATTACGGATACCAAAATGTCTCCGAGCGTCAAGAAACAGTGACTGTCGCATGCGTGTCAGATATTCCGACAACAAATAAGGACTACCCTTAAAAAGAGATTTCTTGGCCCATACTGACTTGCGAAGGGACGGATCATTAAACCTTATGAGGATGGGACGACAACGGCCAGCCGAGGGAGAACCGAGACGATGACACACCTGAAGTTTATCAGTCGTAAAGTCCTGGATGCCAAGGTGTTTCACAATCACAGAGACTGTTGCAGCATGGGTATCCTCATCAGTCTTCTCTGCTATTCCCCCCAGAAGTAAAAACTTCTTTCGATGACGGGTTTCCACAGTATCCATGCTCACTATAAGAATGTTGATTTGTTGTCTCAACAGTGCCAGTGATGTACAAACATGTTCACGAAAGCATTGGAACTCTTCACTCAACTGCTTTAAACTGACTTCTCCTGTTGGGGATACTTTAAGCTGTGCTTCTAATATGTTGAGGCGTTCATTAAGACTTTTCTCCATGGTGGCTTGTGTTTTCAATACTTCCAAGATGGTTGCCATTTTGTGTGAGAAATAGTTAAATAGTGAGAAATGTGGTGGCGGCTTCAGACAGGTATTTAAGTTATTATTATTATTGCATAAGTCACTATATTAACTTAATTGAACTTTCACTATATATTATGTATTATAAATATTTTAAATAAATTAAATTATAGAGATAACAAAACACAGCTGTTGCTTTGTATCTGCCTACCCACGAAAAAAACGATATGAACCCACGTGACCGATCTTATTTTATTAAATCGTCTGGCCTGTGCTATCGATGTTTAGATAAACATTCGATAGCCAATTGCACTCGTGATTACAGGTGTGCTGTCTGTGCTCGGTCCTCCCATCACTTTTAACAATTCTCGAGATCCTGTTTATCCTAACCATCAGAATCGTAATAATACAAATTATCGCAATGCTCTTGTGCATAGTGCACCGCGTACATCACCTCCCCGCACGGGCGGGGGCCGTCCCCCTTATAACAGCCGTACTCCCTGTTGTGATTCGTCATCACCTGCACGTCGAGCTTCTCCTCCTACACACTCACAACAAGATTATCGTCATACGTCCCCTCCCCCGCGGTCACTTCCCGAGATAAAACATACCATAAGTCACGTGACCTCCCCGACCGTTCTATGCATACCAACCATAGACGGAACTCATCCCAATAACTAGGCCCTGTATCCCCCCTGCTTTCTCACCACATATGTCTATTCTCTCCAATTCCCTAGTCCTCCTACCTACCGCCATTATTCATGTCAAATCGGCTTATGGTTATTTTATAGAGGCCCGTGCGTTATGTGATACAGGCGCACAAGGTTGTCTGCTTACTACCGACTTAGCTGTTTAGAGATTGAATGTCCCCTTATCATCAAACTCAGTACCTATTCGCGGTATTGGCAACATTCAATCTGTATATTCCCGCGGGTCTATCTCCCTTACCTTTAAACCAGTTCATAGATCGTATCCTGTGATAACAACCCCTGCAGTGGTTGTTGATGTAATTGCAGGCCCCCATCCTGAGATTGAGTTGCCTAGACCTGTCGTTAATAGTATTATTCACCTTTCCGTAGCGGACCCCTCCATTTATAAACCAGGGCCTATTGAGGTATTGTTATGTGCCGACGTGTTCGGTTATCTTATGCAACCTGAAAAATCGATTTCTCTTCCTCATGGTCTGACCGGCCTTTCAACCGTTTTTGGTTGTGTGTTGTCTGGACCTGTTGCTGGTAATTTCCCCGACCTTGAACCCCCTATGACTGGCATTTCTCTATCCCAGGTCGTAGAGAAATTTTAAAAAATTGAGGAACTGCCTCAAATTCTCAATCCCAATCCTGAGGAGTTAGAGTGCGAACGTAATTTTAAGAATGGCATCACCCGTGAGAGTGACGGTCGTTTTATGGTCCGACTTCCGTTTATCTCTGATCGTCCCCAGCATGGTGAATCCAAGTCTACAGCGGTTAAGTGTTTCCTAAGTTTAGAAAGACGTTTCACTGCCAACTCAGAGCTTCGTGAAAAATATATTATATTTATGCGTGAGTACATAGATCTTCACCATATGTCTCCCATTTTCTATAATCCATCATTACTTGAGCATTATTATATTCTCCATCATGGAGTGTTTAAGGCCGACGACCACTCTAAAATTCGTGTTGTTTTCATTTGGAAGTAGTATCCGACCTTACGACTGAATCTTTCCTATATACCTTTACCCGATTTGTTGCGCGTCGCGGATTACCTACCCTTATACGTTGGGATTGTGGACGAAATTATTTAGGAGCGAGTAACTATATTAGAGAGCTTGATTCATTCCTGTTCCAAAAGCATGATGATCTTGCTTCACAACTAGCCCGCAAGAATATAAATTGGGTATTTGACCCACCGGCCTGTCCTCACTGGGGAGGATTGTTTGAAGCAGCCGTTAAGTCTGCCAAGACGCACCTTAAACGAGTAATCGGTGAAAATCCCCTTACCTTTGAGGAATTGACCACTGTATTTGCTAAAATTGAGTCTGTACTTAACTCTCGGCCTTTGTGTTCCTTATCTCAAGATCCCAATGATCTTGAAGTGTTAACCCTGGTCACTTTCTCATTGGTCAACCCCTTACTGCGTTACCCGAGTACCCATTGAGAGACGAGAAGCAGCATCGCATTTCACGCTTTCACTTATTGCAACAAATTACTCAACATTTTTGGTCGCGGTGGCATTCAGAGTACCTATCAACCCTTCAAACTCGTAATAAGTGGACTTCTCCTATGAATCCTCCTAATGTTGATGAATTGGTATTGATAAAGGATGACAACCTCCCTCCTTTGGAGTGGCGCCGCGGACGTATAGTACAGTTATTTCCTAGTCAAGACGGTGTAATTCGAGTGGTTGAGGTCAAAACCTCTACTGGTTCCTTAAAACGTTCTCTTACAAAACTGGTACGCCTCCCTATTGAGTAATATATTGTATAGCTCCCTTACCTTGTAATTTTTCCCTTGATTTTGATAATTTGTTCCGTAAACATCATAGCTGTTTAGAGCGGGGGCTACGTTCAAAATCTACCCTGTACCATCGTAAGCACAGATTATTATATTAGAGTCCGTTAGTTTTCTGTTCCCGCGCCTTTGCCTCCCCTCCCTTACCTAGTACTGAACCGACTGTACGGCGGCCATGACGCGCGCGCATTGTGTTGTGAATTAAAATAAATTAGAACTGTGAAACCTACTGTGAAATTGGAAAGCTAGCGAAGATACCTTCGAGACCCTGAAGCCCAAGAAATCCGCAGAACCATACAGGTACGAAACTGACGCTTCCACTTATTTTTCACTATATATATACAGAGAGTAAATTCCCTAACATTTTGGTAGCAGAGAGTATTTTCCCTAACACCCATGTATCGGTAGGTTCGCCTAAAGTTTTTAGAGCACGAATGTTTCTCAAAATGGCGTCGATTAATTTTCGTAATTGAGATGCCGACTCCTTATTAACCGATTGCGCAGAAAACAATGCTTTACAGTGATTGTGTATTAATAAGCGATTATTATTGTATCTGTTTTCTAATAGATCCCATGCCGTTAAATAATTATCAGATGAGAATTCTAATGATTTTATTACTTGCAAAGCATCACCTGTGAGCACAAAACGTAAATAATGAAATTTTTGAATGTTGTCCAAATCTTTACAATTATGAATAACCGATAAGTAGGAATCTCTGAATTCTAGCCAATGGTCGTAACTTCCGTCGTACCGGGATAAATTTAGGGTGGGCAATTTTATGGCACATTTGTTGCTATTTGATGATTGAGAGGCAGTAGAATCCTTTAAAATACATTTACACTTGGACACAATTGCATAGTACTGGTTTTCGAAAGTTTCTCTCTCGACTAATTCCTTTTCTATCTCATTTTCTGACATAAGAAAATCTAATTCATCCTGAATATTCGAAAACTGATCAAATAACTGCTGTGATTTTTGAAATCGTTCATTTAATTCAATTGTAATTAATTCAGATAACTGTAAATTGTCTAACGATGAAACGTATTTTGCAAATAGAGTGAATTTAGTTTTAATAACGCCTCTTTTTTTTACTAAATCGTGTATAACATTATCACGACT